ATAATTTATTATTTATTATTTATTATTTATTATTTATTATTTATTATTTATTATTTATTATTTATTATTTATTATTTATTATTTATTATTTATTATTTATTATTTATTATTTATTATTTATTATTTATTATTTATTATTTATTATTTATTATTTATTATTTATTATTTATTATTTATTATTTATTATTTATTATTTATTATTTATTATTTATTATTTATTATTTATTATTCATTATTTGATTGATTGATTAATTGATTATTTATTTATTTATTATTAATAATTAATAAATAATATTTATTAATTATTAATGATTAATTATTATTATAGTTTGCGGTTTTGTAGTAGTTACCATGATGCATGCATAACATGCTTGTTGAAGTTTCTAATGAAGAAAAAAAAAAAAGAACTGGAGAACAAAAATTCTTACAATCCAAGAGTCTTTTATAAAAAAATAGGCTAAAAAAGAAATTTTGATTAGCAATGCAATACAAGTGTGTGTAAATGATACTTGATTAATATAAAAAAATACACGAATACGATGTATATCGTAATGTGTCCGAAACAGGTACATCATATTAACAAAAATATATACTTCGGACATCACATACGGGGAGAGTAGTAAAAAGTAATATAATGTTGGAATATACAAAAATTGCCATTTTATACATATATTGTAAAATAGCGACCCTCATTGAATCAACTTTTTGGCTCACCCCATACACGTATATTTTTTGTAATAATGAAGCATTATTTACATATACTTGTATACCCAAATAAATAATTTATGTATAATCATTATTTTTAAACGATTTTTAAATAAGCATTTTTTTATTTTTAATTAAAAAATTACTAACCCTATATAATTGTTTTCTAAAAAGGATGGTATTATATTTTGGCAGTCACAAATATCTTAGACAGTCAAACCGTAACTTTAATATTTATGAATATCAATTAAATAACGTTTAAGTCTTAAATTATTTTTGAAGATTATGATAATTCATAAGTTCAACACTCTGTATCTTAAAAACTAGGAGAATTTTGTGTCCATGGTCACTTTAAATTAGGATGTCAAAAACTGCAACATATTAAATTCAGCAGATTCGACCGAAAGTCATTTGCCAAAGGGAAATACACGGTCCTTTACTAATCAGTTACTTTTTTTTTTATTAAGATATCAAAAATATACAAGGCAACTGTAACCTTATAAATATATTAACAGATGTCAGCAATGTAGCTCGAAGATTTAAAGAGGAACACAAAATTATTGTGACACACTTATTGTGTGCAGAACTGTGAGACTTAATTTGAAATTGAATAATTTCTATTTATTAAAACAATACTTATCAATGAACCATACCTGCAACTCATCTTTTCTCATTAATCTACAATCCTGCAAGATTTCGTCAACGTCAAATGCTACTTTTGTGTGAGCTGAAGGAAACCGTACTGCAGCATATGCACCATCTACTTTTAAAACCCTCCCCGTCGGTACACTCCTAACGTCTTCTACGAAAATTACATCACGTAATAACCACTCTTCTTCATCTTTTTTCTGATCGTTACCTGGTTCAGAATTGGTGACGACTGATCTTTTTTGACGCTCTAAAAATATAAAATATGAACATATATCGAACAAAAAATAGGCAAAATGAATAAGTCGAACCAGTAAATTTAAAATGTCGAATTAACTGTGTAGGTATAAAATAACTAGCTGTTGTCTGCGGCTTCGCACTCGTGTTTTTAATATAAAAAAATGCATTACCAAAATAAGCAGGGTTACGTTTTTAGGGTTCATGGTATTTTAATAAATTTTGTTGAGAGTGTGCTAGACATAAACATTATTTAAAAATAATTCTGATGTCTAGGTAGGATTCCCCACTCCGACCATTCACTGTTAGGTTCTAATTAACAGTGCTGTTCCTATAGGGGTGCTGGGAAACAGTAACACAGCCTACACAAAACACACACACATGAATGAAAATCAAACATAAACTGAGACTGGCACATTATGTGTTTACACCTAAGCCATAAAATAAAAAAATCTTGATATTACTAGAAATTATTTTTGGTTTTTAAAGTAAATCTCTAGTAGATAATATCAGAGCAAGTAGTTTAAATCAATATTTTATTAAAAGAATTTTTGTTACTTTTATTTAGTAAGGTACTACAGTAGAATAGGATTTTTTGTTTAGACCAATTTATTAAAATAAAATATAATTAATAAGATTTTTTTTTATTTAAAAAAGCTGAAAACATTAAACAATAAATTAATTAGTGAAAAATAAAAATAATTAAAATGGATAGAAATTGCAAATAATAATGAAAATTAAAAACAAAGCAGACAATTTTTTGAAAGGTTAATCGAAAGTCTTTGATACCAATTAAGTCGAAACCATATGGAAACTTTTTTATTTTTAGTTTTATGAAAAAAAGTCATCCTATATAAAAAGTTCTGCATGGCCCAAAACTATCATTTTTTTTCACACCGTATTAGAGGTTTATCAAAAAATATGCATTTTGCTGGAGAGTAAAGTACCTTTATTTTTGCCAAACCTCGTATACGACTAATAAAATTTGATATCTGATGGTTGTATTTTCACAGTGTCTATGTACACGCTAACTTGTACGCAAGTCAAAAAGTTATATACACGCGAAACGTCTTGTCAGAGTAGGTGAGTTGTGTGCAGGCCGTTGGTGAACATTTTTTTGTGGCGGCAAAGCCGCCACCCTACGAGTAATCGTTGCTTCGTTTTCTTGTTGTCATGGCATTATTATTATTTGTTCATGTATGTGAAATTTGCTTCTAAGGTTTATACAATTCTACTGCTAGTCACGGCGTAAATGAAAACAAATAAGACGCATTCACACAAACAACTCCCACCACAGCAATATGACGTTTCGCGTGTATATAATGTTTTGATTTGTGTACACTTTAGCGTGTGCCTAGCAACATCGTTGTATTTTAGGTTTTAGACCTTGCTCGAATTTTTATAATAAATAACTTTTTTCCTGATAATAATAAAAAAAGTTTTTCATATACTGCCAACTTATGCAGACAGTTGGTGGCATTTGAGAAACTTTATTATTATATTATTAGGAAAAAAGTTATTCTTCATAAAAAGTTCTGCATGGTTTAAAACTGAAAATGCAACCATCAGATATCATTTTTTTGTCAAAAAAATATGAATATGCACAAGAGTGAAGTACCTTTATTTTTAATAAACCGTATATACGATAGATAAAATTTGATATCTGATAAATGTATTTTGGGTTTTAGACCATGCTCGACTTTTTATGAAGAATAACTTTTTTGCCTAATATTAATAATAAAAAAAGTTTTTCAAATGCCACCAACTGTCTACATACGTTGGCGGCATATGAAAAACATATTAAAATATTAGTTTTCTGTACAAAACTAGAAAATTTTAAATTATCTTAAAAGGGATTGTAGCCATTTAAACGAAGAAAAAAAGTTAAATCACTAAAGCTCAGAATTTTAAGTTCATTGAAAAATTTATTTGAGGACATCAGGTCGGTTTTGGATTTTAGAGAGAGATCAATCTCAAGAAAAGTTCATTTATCCTGCAGAACAACCAGTAGTTTGAGTAGGATCTGCTATAAATTTATTGATAATAAATTGTAATTTACCAATTGCTTCGAATGAAATTGAAAAAGAGTTAAGCTGGATTTATAAACTAGTGTGAACTCACTGACTCGGTTTATTTAGAGATAATTAAAATTATCCTAAGAATGTTAACCTTCGGGGCCTTTAAAAACAGCGTTTCCACATTGACATGACATTTCTGATGAGAATTCTTGAGAGAAATGAGTGCTCCCATACTTTGAAAATAGTTGGTGAGTTCGCGCTAGACCCAATTTCTAAAGTCGTTGGCCGTTCGTTCGTCGCTGCGAATTTTGACATTGGATTTGACAAGACATAACCACAAATTCCACAAAATAAATCTTTTTCAACCAATCACATTTCAGAACAATATAAAAAATGTATTATCGGCTAAAAAATGTCAAAAAAATTAACCTGTGTGAGTTAGTAGTTTCTATCATTATTAAAATAAATTTGAGGTATTTGGGGAAATCGAGATTGAGAATGAACCGAAATTAGCGAATTTAGCAAAATATTATTATAACCTGTCTATCTGGTAACAAAAATGGATCCTGCTGCTCGGTGTAATTGAGAGGTTGTAATTCTGTATCTAATTGTGCCTCTTCAATATTAAGGACAAATTTCTCTATGTCGTTCATTTTATAAAAAAATGTACACTTATACAATAACTATGAAGACAATAACTAAGTAAAGTTAATGACATAATGACTAATGAACATTTGGTAATTATAAAAAATTAATTAAAAAAAACTAGGAAGAATAATTATATTTTATATTAGATCTATGTGACAAGTAACATGTTTGGATACCCATAGTTACCGCATGCGAAATAAGGTTGTCGAATGGTCAAGACCGTTCGTTGCAAATCATTCGCCAAGCGACGCAGGCGGAATCACTCGCATACTGCAAAGGCTTTCAATAATACCAATTTTTTACTCGCATACGTAACCGCATGCGAGCCGATTACGAACGCCGTCAGGAATTAGGCCCCTGATACGTGTTTTTCATTGGATTGACGTTCGTAGGCGAACAGCGAACATAAAAGATGGTTATCTCTCAGCGTCAACTGAACTCGAACTGAGCGCAAACGTAGTCAATAAATTACTACGCACGTTCTGCTTTGTTTATGTTGAACTCGAACTGAGCGTGAACTGAGCGCTAACTGAACGAAGTTAATTACTCCAGCTTTTAATTTAAAATTAGATTTTTTATGGGTAAAATTTTATGTTTGGAATTTGGAAGTGTCTACTGAAACAACTGTAAGTTCTTTAATTTTTCTATTAATTGGGAAAATGTTAAGGATCTAAACCTAGAAGTACAAAATTTGAAACAAGCAAATATAAACCTTAAACACAAGTTAAAAAATAATGCCAATGGAAACAATAATGAGGAAAACAATCTATTAAGATTAAGACTACATTAGTAGTCGTACAAGAAATATGAGAAAGACAAACTCGAGCATCCAATGTGATAGTCTGCAATATCCAAGAGTCTAAAGAAATGGCTAAAGATGATCAGGCTCGACGAGAGGGTGGGATAGGGGAGACAAATTCCCGGGACCCGGCAGCTTAAGCTGAGGACGTTTTGTTTTTTTAGAAGTTCGCCACAGAAGGAATTTGTTTACGAAAAAATACAAGGTGGACCTTTTTTTTAGATTTCACTAAGAAAGGATCTGATTTTGCTTGAGGGGCTTCATAGAGAGGACTTGATTTTTCATAAAAATGCCCTCGGCGACCCTGAAAATGATACAGAAAATGAAAAATTAGGAAATGTCTCACAAAGTGCGACTTTCCGTTTGGGAAAATACAATAATAATAAAAATAGACCAATTAAAGCTATCCTAAGTTGTAAAGAAGAGGTACTACATGTTCTAAAAAAAAAAAAAAATCGAAAATTTTATTCCCGGAATAAAAATTTTCGCAGATCAAACAAAGATTCAGCAGCAACAATATTTTGATGCTAAAAATAAATTAAATTCACTTGACTTATAGTTAAAGGGGAACTAAACAAAATCAACAAATATATTAATGGTACACCAACTATAGTTGGCTCAAAACAAAAAAAAACTAATTCAAAATCCCAATATAGTTTTCAATAGTGATATAATAATTTATGCTAACATTCAAAGCCTTTAAGCCAATTCTGATCAACTTATTAATGCTATAATATATTATAAACCGTCATAGGCCGCCAGATAGTGACAGGTTTAGGTGCCCCATTTTCACATGAAAAGTACATTGATTTTAAGGAGGTCCTTTCGCAACCAATGTTAAATAAAAATTATTAAATTATGACTAAAATTAATTTTTTTCTAATAGTTGAAGTCCTTATTTATCTAATAGTGAACTTTTATTAATACCTTACCGTGCAAATTTTTGAAAAAAAAAAAAAAAATCAAATAACCTAGTTGAAAATTTTTTGTGATTTTTTTTCTCAATAAATTCCACGGTAACCTATATATTTTATTGTAAAAAACAAAACCTAAATATTTCAAAAACCTTATTTTTAGTTTTTTCTACTCCATCTAATCAATAAATAATAGTATAATTCGAGAATTGTTGTTGAGGTCTTACTTTCTCGTAACACACTGTACAAATACTCACATTTTAAAAAAACAAAAAAATTCTCAAAAATTTGCACGGTAAGGTATAGTTAAAAGTGCACTATTAGATAAATAAGGACTTCAACTATTAGAAAAAAAATTAATTTTAGTCATAATCTAATATTTTTTATGCACGACCGGGCGATAAAGTCCAGATTATAAATACGTTTGGGCGGGCGTAAAGTGTCACTTTACCGCCCGCGGACTACTTTACTTTTTTTTTTCTTTTAAAAATTCACATGTAGTTAGTAAAACAAACTTTATTATTATTATTATTATTTATTATCATGGAAATATTTGGTACAATTAACAAAATATGAGTTTAATAAAGAAATTATAACTTTAAAAGCCCAAACATAAGATCCCCACACTTAGAAT